TCATATATGTGCAAAAAAACACAACTTGGATACTTTCTTCAACCTGACAAGAAAATCCGTAAATCACTGATTGCTAATGCTCTTTCCACAGTATCTGTACCACAGTCCACAGGGGTTCTATGGTGTAATGGTTAGCACTCTGGACTCTGAATCCAGCGATGTGAGTTCAAATCTCAGTAGAACCTACCAATGTGTGTTTGTTTTGTCAATTGGTAGCAACTTGGTTTTCATGGTAATGCAACTTGTTTTTGGAAACAGAGTTTCACATGGTTTATTGTGAATCCTGTTGTTATTTGCACTTATTGATTCAAGACCACCTGTGTTGACGTTTTTGATATTTACAATCTAACAATATTATAGAGTTCTTCAAAATACTGTTTCATATTTTGTGCTAGTTTTTCAGTTGAACAAATGGTAAAGTCATCTTCTTGCCATCAGTCACATTATTACTCTCGGACTAGATTATGACTATTGCACATAGGTACTGCCCGACTGCCAATTGTCCCTCCTCTTATTATTTTAAAAGGAACAACGGTACGCACAAAGAGTTCTCACATGAAAGATCTACAACCACCACACCCATTTTTGAAGGCAAACAATCCTGTTTTAAAACAAGAATGCAAATGTAGAGGAAGTTGAATTGAAGTGAAGACGTGGAAAAACCATGAAGAGAACACACCTGACAAGTCAACAACTTTGCTATTGTACAAAATAGGAAATAGCAGAGAAGCATGGGAGCGTGGTACGGAATGTGTGAATGACGCAGTGGCCGTCAGACAGTGGTGAGGTGATTCATAAATAGATCACAGACACACTCTTTATTACACACTTCTATAATAAGTTACCCAATTACTTAGAAGGACAACAAATAATTTAAAGCTTTTAAAATAATTTATTATTTTTACTTTATCAGGGTGACCGAGCGGTCTGAGGCTTCGCGTTTAGGTCACGGTCCCCACTGAAGGCATGGGTTCAAGTTCCACTTTTGACCGATTTTTTCACAAACGCAAGTTACATTTGCCGTGGTTAATTAAGAGAGTCGGGCAATTTTCAAAATGACATGACAGTAACTTTGGCGAAAGACGCATTTCTAGGAGATAAAAAGCTCTTGTTGTACTGCTTTGCTGATTTACGTGTCATTTCAAAAGTTGTAGTGATTAAAATGAAAATGTCACGATGCAACAGATTATCCGGTGTTAAGTATACAATAAGTCCATGTTTGACTACGATTCACAAAATCATGTGTCTGGGTATCAGTCATCAAGACTTAAGTATCCCGTGGAGCCAAGGTTTCTAATTACTATGCACTACCTCCACGCAAAAAGACTAGGCTAGTCACAAGTACAGGCCAAAATAAGAGTAGACATATGTACTCATATGTACTCCACATATGTATCCAAAGCAGGGTGTTTTTTGTCATGACATTTGATGCCAGTCAATGTAGCATAGCGGAACTGGCAAGACTTTTACGAAAAATGAATGGCTTTACTATAAGACCTTTAACAAACATTTATATAATCACGCCTACAATTTGTACTCCAGTATTCACGACAAACACACCACATTGCTTACTTATTTACTTATTTACAGCAGGATGTTGGTTCGACAGTTTTTATGTCACACCAACGTGTTAACCAACCAACATGTCTCTTGTCAGCAAACCATCTCAGCCTCGTCTCTCTAAGTTTATGGGTTATGTTCATTCTGATTGGCTGTTCTCTGATTGGCTCTTCTTTTCTTGCCCACTTGGTCACAGGTGTCAAACTCAAATTCACAGCGGGACAAAATTAAAAACTGGGATGAAGTCGCGGGCCAAACTAACAAACTCATATAATAAACTCATAATAATAGCTGCACTATCATTACTGCCTTTATTGATTCACCACTCATCGTTCATTCTGTGTCATAGATATAAATCTCAACTTCTGTAACTCTGCCTCTATTTTGGACCGGTCAATGCCTCCAAAAAAACATCGTGTTCTGTACTAATGTCCTCAATCGGTTAATCCCTGGTATTTTCTGGATAAAACACGGACTCCATCTAAAGTGCTATATTGTTAAATGGAAACATAAGCATATAGACCAGGGGTATCAAACTCATTTTAGTTCAGGGGCCACATACAGCCTAATTAATTAACAATAGGTCCATGTTTTCCACTTTGTTTTCCTGCAAATAACTACAAGTATATTAGAAAATATTCATATTTCATTATTTCATGGGCTGAATTAAACCCCATAGTGGGCCGGTTTTGGCCCGCAGACCATAAGTTTGACACCGATGATTTATTCTTTGAACTTTTTGATGACCTAAATTGTCATTGTTGCTGTCTTTGCAGACCCCGCTCCACCTGGCAGTGATAACCCAGCAGGCCAACATGGTGTACATCCTACTGAGGGCAGGAGCAGATCCTGCCGTCTTGGACCGTAACGGCCAAACAGCGCTGCATCTGTGCTGCGAATACAACCTGCCTGAATGTGTCGCTGTAGTGCTGTCTCACTCCTTGTACCCCCTGAGCTTGGAAACACGGAACTTTGAGGGTAGGTTCTCCTAAGAAGCTTATTAGTATGTTTTTCTATTAGGGATGACTCGATCCGATACTCGGAACCGATATTAGTCAAAATTTCAGGATCGAACATCTGAGAAAAAAAAACAACTACAGCCCGTCTGATCCGATACCTTAGCCTAGAGGTGGGCAAACTTTTTGACTCGCGGGTCACAATTGTCCTAAAGCTGTTTGTGTGAGATAAATGACATGTAAAAGTCATGCATAAAGGCTAAAATGCAATTCTACGCCATCTATTGGTGATACATGGGTATTGCAGGGTAGAAGTATAATGATAATATAAATAAATAGTATAATTTGGAAACGTTTGGCAGGATTAACAAGCTGAACGTACCGCATCCGGCCCCCGGGCCTTAGTTTGGCCATGCTTGCGTTAGCCCAAACGCTCAACTTAACATTGTGCAACATGCTGTTCGCCTCAGCAACGGCAGCCCATGGCATGCTGGAGGAGAAAAGGAAGCATTGAATTGATATAGGTATCGGCAGACACTCCAAGTTGCAGTATCAGTACCGGACATGCAAATTGTTTTAGCAGGGGTATCAAACTCGGATGCGTCTTGAGAACTATGAAAAGGGCTGATTACATTTCTGACCAACGCCATATTTATATTTTTAAAGAAACATTATTGTTATTATTTTCCAAGTTGTAAACCATTTCACCTGCTTCTTGTATGAAATGGACCTGGGACGACTGCGAAAATTGTTACATCATTTAACTCGTGGCTGTAGAATAGAGGTTTGTTTTGCGACTGAATGACTGTCGGTTTCCTATGCACAGTCACTGATCACCAGGGAATAGTGTGACACTCAATCAGATATCTTTTAGTAATAATGTTTGACCGTGAACCTTTTTGATGTTACTTCACTTCTGTTCTCAGGTCTCAGCCCGCTCCATCTGGCTGTGTTGCGTGGTCAAAAGGATATAGCCAAGAGGCTGCTTGATGCTGGAGCTGATATCAATGCAATGGTCAGTTGTTTTAGTGCTCATGAGTCAGCATCGATTCGCACCATCACATACTCGACTGACCTCTGTTCTTTTTCGTTTCAGGACATCAAAAGTGGCCAAAGTCCTCTCATGCACGCAGTGGAAAAAAACAATGCAGACATGGTCTGTTTCCTCATTGAGGTAACTGTGGGATTTGGGGTTTGACCTATCTCCAAAAACTCTATGTTTACACAGTTTCCCCAACTGTCTTTTACAGCAAAATAATAATTAAAAAAAAGGGGATTTTTCTATATCTGGTTGTGTCACAGCTAAGTAGAAACGGGAATCGATGTTACACTGTCAGGTTCTGGCCAATCACAATCAAGGAGTGTTGTCCCTAACATTTCCCGTTGTGTTTTCTGAAATGTCCAAGCCAAGACATTGGCAAATACCCAGCTGCTGCCAACACAGGTGTCCTGACTGTAATAATTACCGGTACTAGTGATTTTTTGAATGAATACAATACTGATTTTTTTTTATTTATTTGCCTTTTTCGATACCTGTACTAGCCATATACTACATATCCTGGCGAATACTGGCCATTTAACAACTTTAAAAGTAATTTATTTTTATTCTACGTAACTTAAATAATTTCCTAGCTACCATTAAGGGACAAAGAGGTCGTCTACAAACATCATAATAATATTTTTCATATCTCTTTGATCAACTTGAGTCCTAATCGTGGAATCAAATATCTCTATCTATGTACTTATTTGTATTGATACTTATTGAGAGTAATCGATATGCAACCGATACTTGCGTGATTATCGATATATCGACCAATAATTACATAGTGTTGTTTTTTTTCAACATATTAGAATTGTTTAATCAGTGATTTTTAGTAAAAGATTTTTTTTTTTTAAATTGTACATGTAAGACCATTTTTACTGATTATTTTAAAATTTATTTTTACCTATGGCTTTTTCTTGCGGCAGAATGGCTCGGATGTGAACAGGCAGTCGTACAGTGGGAACACAGCCCTGCATGCTGCATGTGGACGGGGGCAAGTGGAAATAGTGCGGCTACTGCTGAAAAGTGGAGCGGACAGCAGTCTCAAGAACTACCACAATGACACCCCAGTGATGGTGGCCACTAACAAGAAAGTACGTCAGGCAACATAACGTATACCAGAAAAATCAAAACAAAAATGTTATAGCCTAAACATGGAGTCATTTTTTACATCCAGTATGTGATCCTTTCACTAAACAATCAAAATGAAGTAATTGCACAACAACTCCTGATTCATTTTGACCGACACATTCTGACCCGAGACGACCCAGCTCTGACCAAATAACTGTGGAATTGGCTCCAAGACCTCCCACAAAGCTGTAGTAAGATTAGACCAAATATAGGGATGCCCCGAAATTAGAATTCTTGGCCGAAAAAAAAAACGAAAATGAAGAAACCAAGGCCGAAAACCGAAACACCGAAAGAAATGATTATGCCAATTATTAGTACCATTGTATTTATTGCTATGACTGTGAACTAAAACCTCAATAAAATCCGTGAAAGGCCGCGCGATTGCATAAATGAATACGTTTCAAAGAAAAAAAACAATTACAAAAATATGAATCTTTTTAGCACATTCCAAAAAAGGGATAATATAAAATTAAATTAAATTCTAAATAAAATGTTTCTCAAACATATTTAAACGCGTCCAAACTGCAAACCGTGGTTTTTGCTTGCGTCATCACAACTTCCTGTTTCAGTTGTTTTGTTTCGGTGATAAACGTCTTTAAGATAAATTTTCTGTGGCCAAATATTCAGTGCATCCCTAAAAAAAAATTAAATAAGTGCAACGTTTATCATCTGAATATCAAATTACAAATTGTTTTACTTAATTTTTCCCCATCACTCGATCTGCCAGGGTCCTATTTACATTTCCAGACAACTACAAACCTTTGTAGTGCAAACATCACTTTCCATTCTGAACTATATGGTTCAACTGGGATTACTACTGAACATGTCACATACAAACTATGAGGCCAAGTTGGATATTTGGTCAAAGTATAAAACAAAGATAAATACGTAGATTGATCATTTTATTAATGCTGCCGTTCTTTAAAACAAAAAGCAAAATTATTTGTTACTACGTACAAGTGTGTGCTCACATTTGTCTTTTCAGTAAGCTGTTGTTACCAAAAAATATGATCGTCTTTGTCATTGTAACACGGGGATACAACGAAATGTGACCTCTGTTTTTAACCCATCACCAAAGTGATGCTGCCATGCTCAGTGCATCTAACTGGTAACTTGGGAGCTGGTGGACTTGAACCTGAAACCTTCCGGACCCAAGTCCGCTTCCTTAACCACTAAGCCACCACTTAATCAATGTATTGCCCAATTGCGCCCCCTGCTGGCAATAAAGCATAATTTATAGCAATCATTTTACACTTGGCATGTCAAAAGTTGTTGTAAATTCTGTGTTAGCGAACCATTTTTTCTAAAATATTTTTTATATTGAACCAAGGTTTTGTTAGAGTTCTAATTTTTTAATTTTTCAAGCTAATCTTAACATCTTCATGTCGCAACGACTATCGTCTTAGCGTGATACAAAGGTCAATAACGGACTTCGATCCTTTTCTAGATCGCAGATGTGTTACGAGGGAGAGGAGCCAAGTACGCACGAGTTCAAGAGCAACACTGTGTACCAGTCTCACCGCACAGCAGCAGGTTCTCAGAAAGTGGTAAGGATACATAAGGACACATTTGCAATTAAAAAAAAACCAAAACAATTTGTATGGTAAAATGGCTAAAATCGATCTGTACGATTTCCTCCAACACCAGGGTCTCCGTATCCCAGCCCAAGTCGTGGATGTTCACCTTTGGCTGCACCGCCAACCCCACAACGGAGCAAACCTCATTCTCCAAAGACTTCACCTGGGCTTGTGTTCCCATATTCTTAACCAAATCCCTCTACCAGCGCTAGATTAAACTACCTCGTACCGACAACAGAAGAAAGCCTGCAGACCTAAAAAGGACTCATCTGATAACTCTCAACAGCTGCAGGCACAACTAGCCGAAGAACAGAAAAGACTTTTCTACAAACTCAGGAACCACTTTCAAGACAGAACAGACAATCACGAGCCACAGCCTACCTGTGGTGTCACTGGGTGAGGCCCAGTTTATCCAGTTGTGGTGATGTGGTGAATGGTCTTTCAGAAATGTTTGCGTAGTGTTTATTTAGCATGCTGTTTTGCTTTTTTTTTTTTTTTTTTTTTCTTAAAGCCTACCAGAAATACAGCTTTGAGTGAAATGTGCTTACTGGTATCTGCTGGCATTAAAACAAAAAATCACCTTTTCTGTTGCATTTAATCCAAACTCTCTAGACTACAGAGACATTGACAAATTACAGGATGTTAATATTAGTATTGGTAAGAGTATTAGTATGATTGTTAAATTATGGATGACTGACAATGACAAATACAACGTACATCGCTTCTCCAGAGAAACTGCAAAATATCGTCAAACTGTGTTTGGCTAACTTTAAAAATGTGAAGCTAACGTCAGTAATTCAGGTTACAGCTTTTAGCATAACTAAAGTTGTTTTGAGCTCATTTTAACTTCACGCTTGGATTAAATGAAACCAATTTTGACTGAGTTATGACTTACTTCAAACTTGTTTTTGGCCAGCTGACATCCTGACATCCGATATGCACGATATGTCTGCAAAACATGACAAATGATAAGCTGCAACAAAGTATATTAGCACTGAAAATATTTGTTTTATAGATAAATGAAGTCACTGTCGCCTATATCTAAAACAGATAAATACAGGTAAACACAAACTTTTCTTTTCTTTCTTTCTTTTTTTTTTTTACAAAATAATCAGATTTATTCCAATCCATTGTACATTATCAACATATATTATAACTAAACACTTTGATTTTCACACCACATGATTCTCATGCATCTCCTGATGACGCCTGACATCCCATCATTCTGGGCTCTGTAAAGATCCAATACACCATTAAAGGAAAGACATTTGTGCTACAGTATGTAGACATGGCTCGGCTCATCCTGGTTCCATAAAAACTTTGTCATCTTTTCACCTTTCTGTCCCACAGTTCAGTTGGAAGGGTCTGTCAATTCACTTTATAAAATCCTAGTCCAGTTTTCAGTCCAGTGTGTCACCGTTCTGGTCCGAACTGTGGACTCTGGTACTGTCCAGGCAGCATCTCTAGCCAATGGTGACACCGAAACCACACTGGAACTTGTTCTTGCGGTGGTTGAGCAAAGCCCCTAGGGCCAGTGTGAGGGGCAACGGCACCAGTTTCTTTTCAATGGTACCGCCTACCACCCAGTTACTGTCCATTTTACCTGCAAAGAACATACATGTATCAACAATGAAATATTTTTCTAATGGTATTCTATGCACAAAAAGAAACAAATACCAACTGATGAGGGCAGCAGTGGGTCAAACATTCCTGCAGTGTTATTAATTTCTATTGGGGAAATGCAGTAATTGAAATATTAGAAGTATAGTGATGATATAAATCAATTGTATAATTTGGACAAGTTTGGCAGGTCAGATTAAAAAGATGAACGGGCCACATCTGGCCCCCGGGCCGTAGTTTGCCCACGCCTGATCTATACAGTCTACTGTTTAAAACCAGCCTTTCAAGGGGAACTGTATTTCTGATGTGGCCCCCTGGTGAAAATAAGTTTAACACCCCTTCTCTACGGTGTTCGGTGCAAGATCAGGGTAATATTAAGGAGTAATAAAATGTCAAATAATGCTAAAAGTAATTAAATATATCTAAAAGTAAGATAACGCAGAAATAAATGATAATAATAATCAAAATAACAGGTTTATTATAGACTGAATAGTTTAATTTTTTTTGTTAAATGCAATGTTTTGGGATGGCTAAATCTGATACTGAGGATCCGTATTGGTGGGATAATGGTCAAAATTTCAGGATCACACATTGAAAAAAAATTAAAGTCTATAGTCCGTCCGATTTGATACCAAAGCCCAAATACTCAACTCTGGGGAATATTGTGTAAACAGGAACACTATCACAGTAGTGTCGGAGGTGTGATAGGCTCAACCATGTGCCTTTGTGATTGCGCTTGTATTCACCTTTGAAGAGGAGGTTAGCTTTAGGGAGGTCCAGCTGGTAACCGAAAGACGTCGTGGTGTCTTGCATTCTCATACTGGCTTCAAATTCAACTCCTACCTGCAGCTGTGTTAAAAAAGCAAAACACATAGAACACAAAGCTTGCAAGGCTTAAGATTCCACTTACAAAGCAGACTTAATTTCCACACGTATTGTTAAGTAAAAATAAATAAATACCAGGGGTCCTTGGTTTACGACATCTTTGACCTACGGTGTTCCGTGGTCGCCATCTCAAATAAATTTCCATCATTGCGACATAGGGCGTTTTAGCGACAGATTTCACACAGGTCAAAAGACAACTTTGTTTACATTTACCAATTGTCCACCACATATTGGATTGTGCGTGAAATTCTTTTGAAACCTTTTCTCCATTTGTGCGCCATAGGAAAAAAATTAATGTAAGTCAAGGACCCCCTGTATTCTTAATTGTTAAGCGTTTCATTCACATCATTCTCCCTTTGTCCTAACATCAGTTACCTGATCATTGGCTTTGTGATAGTACGTAGCATGAGCTCCTGCACCTCCCATGGTCAAGGTAGCGATAAACTTTTCACCTGAGGAAGTAAAGTCAGTAAAAGTAAGTAAGGTTAAGTAAGTAAAATTATTTATCCATTTATTACGATGGCTCTCCAAAAACTTTGCTTTACAAACAGGTGTGAATGAAAATTCTCTCGATAAGATAGTTGAGCTAGCTACTCATCCCTAAGGATTAGAAATGGCAGATAAACTGTATAAAAATATGTATATTTTTATGTAACAAACTGTAGGTATATTTTAATTAAATTTAGTAAAAAAAAAAAGTTTTTTTACATATTTACTTAAATAGTAAAATATTGAATCACAGTACAAGTATTGAATCAAATTATGTCATACAGCTACATGCATTTAATCAACATAAGGTAAATATATATTTAATATTATCAATCTAGCTAGACCATTTTACCGAGGTCATTTGAAAAATAGCCCCCATGGCAAAAAAGTGTGGACACCCCTGCTCTAAATGCTTGTTCTGTCTAGTGTGTCAATACATTTTAATTTAACTCGAACTATAATGAATTCTTGTGGAAAAACTACATAAAACCTAGTAAGCTTTCAGTTTTCAGCGAACCAAATACTATTACCGTATTTTGCCCTCTAGTGGCTGGCAGTGTGGAAATAACGAACATGTAAATTCTCAGTGGTACAGGAGTAGCAAATACTGGTACACAAGACTAGAGTGCCCTCTAGCGGCTGTCAGTGTGAAAATAACAAACATGTGAAATTATATATTTTAATTTATAAATCGCTTGAGTTTGAGTTATAGTCCGGAAAAAATAGTCTAAAAAACAGTAAAATAATTTACTGTTTTCATGTAACACATAAAAACAGTAAATTTGGTACAACACATATACATCTACTGAGGAATGTGGAAGGCTGGTACCTGTGTATCTGCCCAAAAGAGAGGTGACAGTTCCTTCTTCGCCAGGTCTCTTGTGAT